TTCTTAGTTGCTGGTAACTGACTCACAATACACTTATAAATGACATTAACATCTACAGTATTAAGAATACTGGCATGGACTTGAGTAGCACAAGAAGATTCTGCCATTTTTCAGGTTACAGATGTGTCTGGTATTGTGATACCAGTATGGTGCACGAGACTGATTTTATTGACCTTCTTGTTTCCTGCCATCTTATTTTACTTGGAATGAGGTTCAGCTTCTCTCCTAATTTTCTGTCTCAGCCACTAATCAGCAACCTCCCTTACCCAATACTGATATGCAATAATGTCTTACCCCTAAGATCACCTCTTAGCGCGATTCTCTTATATTCAAGTTACTGCGGTAGATTGCCACCTGCGATAGACTGGATAGGTGTTGTAGCCTCCGACGGATAATCTTCCGCAAGCCTTTGATTGGGGGCAGAGGGCACGGGCAGAGGGCCGTCATAGCTTGAGCATTTCAATCGGATTCTGTGGAAATGTCGAATTTGGTGCCTGATTTCCTCCGATGTAACACGGTTAGTATTCGTAGTGGTAGGCTATAGGATATGGGGAATTTTTGCACTTTGAGCCGTTTAAACAGAAAATAAAAATCGACCCCAAGTTCTATGTAGTGGAAGGGTACAGTACCCTGCCCCCATTAATTGCTACCAGCGCTGGTTAATTCTCTCATTGGGGATTATATGTTCTAACATTTCAATTTCACTTGCGGAATGTGCAGTTATGGTAGGCCTGATTTTATCCTTATAAATTCACCACCTCTCTGCTGCCCCGATGCGTTTCTCAATTCCCATGCGTGAGATGGGAGTTGAGAATAGCAACATAATGTAATTGGAATGAGTACAATTCAAATAATCCCCCAGAAACTGGAAAAACCGTAGGAAGGGTCTAATAAGCTGACAGATACATAGGCTCGCTCCTACAGTTCCTCGTGCTGTGCAGGAGGTAGAGAAAGAAAGACCAAAAATCGTGGAATCACCTGGTCTCTGCCACAAAAACTTCACCGTTCACTCAGTTACCGTTTGACCATGAAGACAGCGGAAGTAAATACGCTTGCACGGGTGTCAGAAACCACTGGTTTGTTTCTCTAAAACGATATTTGCTCAATCTCTTCCTAGATGAGATGAATATGGGGTTTTTCCCGTATATATGGTCGGCCGGGTACTCACATCTGTTAAGGGTCGTGGGATAGTGAGACGATAGTTCTCGTCGATGACCTTGAGAGGAGTTAGTCGCTCTGACTACACTTCATTCCGGATATTCCAAGGGACGATATCTCACCTGGAGATCGAAATCCCCCCCGAACAGCCGGGTCAAAAGTTCCAGGAGTCTATTCTTGCGAATATAGCGTCTCTCGATGTGTTGGGTTTGGGTTGTATTGCTCATTTTGATAGCCTTGATCCAGTTGGGGAAGACCTGGTCTCTGTTTTTATTTGTATTTTTTACCACGAAACTACGATATTTAAACCTCCTCTCGGAAGCTGGAAGGAAAGAGGGAAAGCTACAGAGAAGAAGGGTTTTTTCTCCACGCTATCTGACCCCGCTCCCTGCACTCCGCCGAATTTCGCACGGTATACCAGTCAACCTTGCGCCTGAATGCATTTTCCTCCACGCACGAATGGTTGTCATGACTGGGACAGTGGATTGTGAATGGACAGGACAATTCGGAGCTGCGAAAGAGTTTTCCCGGCATATGATACGTGTTCGAGAGTTATGCATCTACAGAATATGTTTGGGGCTAAGTTTGCCCTATCGTATGAATGAGGAAGATGCGGAGAAACCGCTTCTTTGTCCACTTGCAGTTTTTTATATACCGGTAAGTTACTGAACCTATCGGCTATGGAATCCAGTGGAATCACTAATCTGTGCTGTGAGAGTGGTGTTTGTTTTTTTGTTTGTTTTTTTTGACTCCGGTTGGCCACTAGGGTCCCGATCTGGCCAGTTTTGAGGAGTGGATCAGGTTCTTCAAGGAGATGTCCTACATGTCTTAAGGCTGTCATGCCGGTCCCAATGAAAATGCCGATATAATACGCCTTTCGCGGCCTCAGTGAGGAAGTGGTTTGGGATATAAGTTCCGTGCGGGGGGGGAGGGCGTGTCTTACTTCGTGACAGCACGGTAGTATTTTGTGTTCCAATATTTTATATATGGGGGGTGAGTCGCCTCCTATTAAATATCAGTGATATGTAACACAAAACAAAAGTTTCTAATAAGTTTTTGGGTTTGCACCATGCCGGTACTCGCTCGAGCAGTGCTCTTTACAAACTAAAAGGAAGTATCATACTAGACGATAGGCAACCTCAACCTAGCTTTCAAGCAAAAAGGTTATGATCCCCGCGTGACGATGAGAGGGGAAACAGCGCCTGTCAATTTGTCAACCTTTATCGAAATTTTGAATAGGACCACAGGGCCGGGGATATCGTAGTTGGTTTTCAGGTTTTCAGGTTTTTTTTTTTTTTTTTTTTTGACCCTGAAGAGCGCTTGTTACGGTCCGATCCGCCCTTCCACTTGGTATCATCCTGCACGTACTTTACTTGCCGTAAGTTACGCTTGGGAATATGTGGAGTAGTCCACTATGCGATTGTGATGGTGGGGCACTGTGGGTGAAGTTTGCACCCTCTTCTCGGCGAGACAGGGTCCCACTGCCTCCGCAAACTATGGCCTTTCGTCTGGAGATCCGAACTCTGTGCCATGTCATTCGCAGGTGAGAGGTTGTGTTTTGTAGTTTTTGCTACGGCAAGCTTTTCACAGTGTTTCGCATATAGCCATCTATATTGCTACAGTAAACCCTCTCATAGTCTAATTCTAGGAGGCTAGTGAACGGGGAAAGCTGGAACTAGTAGTGTTAGAAACAAGGGAGGTGTCTTGGCAAATTAAGTGATAGAATACGGTGCGGTCGGTTTATAGGTATCATAATAGCCACAAGTAACTATGATATACACATATTTATATATGAACTGTGGAAAAGAAGACGAAAAAGAAAAAAAAAAAATCACCCCTATTAAACATCCTACACTACATCTTCCTGCTCTGCAATCTGAAAATAGGACAAGACAGAGAGAGGTTTGAACTATACACTCCTCCACATTTTTGGTCCTACTTTTTGGAGCTATGGGGAATCAATTCCCTAGAAATATGAATTACTGGAGGGTTAGAAGTTGCAGAAGGAATCCTCATAGTACTAAACCCGTTCTCACACAAGACTGAAAATATAGGAGGGTTGGGAGTTCGAGAGGTTGGAATTATGGGGGGGGTTTACTGTATTATGAGTATAGGTTATTAAAGCCTCCACATTGGCCTCCAAATCATACCGGTAGCATACTGGGACGTTCCTTGTTGTAGAAGATAGTCTATCATGTGGACATTGTGGTTCGCGTTTGCTAGGCTGCTGCGCAGGTAAAAACTGGAATAATTGAAACTCACGCTAGTATATGCGTTGGAGTTGCCTCTTCAAGTAAGCCTAGTTGCACTTTACTTTCCCTTCCACTTGTCTCAGCAGAGGTCTGAAAGTTTGTATTTTTCGGCGTGATTCCTTCCCCCATCTAGGGGAGCTTTTAGACGCCCTAAAGTCATATTCAGTTTTTTTCGCTTCTTGCGGTATCCCCCTGCTGCTTTCTAGTGGCTAAGATGTAATGGGATATATTTTGCTGCCTACGGATTTGTATGATGGCGGTTTGGAAACTCGCGCCAGAGCATAGTAAGGCATGGTACTGTTAAGGTGCTAACTTAGACTGCTAGCACTCTGACACTATCACCTTTGGTTTAGCAATACACAGGTCAATTATAAGCTCGGGCGAGTACAGTACAGTATTCCGTTATCTGACGGCGAGAAACGATCAAAGGCCCGGATTTTTTGAGGTGCAGTGCCAAGTAAAGCAGCATACTGAATAGTCCTGTACAGTACAGCACCGTTCAGTAGTTATTTTAGAGCATGATAAACCCGGCGCTGAGTGTAACAGGAAGCATTGCATACTACCGTTATTAAGCACTTTCATAGGCTAGGCTCTAGAGATCTAGCATTCATGTATCTTTGCCTGGTTTATTTGACCACTATTGGTGAGAAGGATCGACAACTTGGAATATCTGCCGTACTGTCCCAGTATTCACGTAGATGTGGAAGAATGGAAACCACCGCCAGAGCACCGCTCCGGTATCACCGTAAAAACTCTCGAAATCCACTACAAGTATCCCCGCCACCCCTGCGATCTCTGGGTTCGAGACAAGGCCCCTGAGGAGGATTAACGTTTTCCTGGCACAATAAGATCAGCGAACGGGGCATGTTGGTTCTCGTTAATAACTGGTATTCGCATTTCTAGTAACCTATCAAACCGATCCCACCGTAGGCCGATGAGCGGATTCTTCTGATGATCTGATTGATAGTGGGTTTAAAGAGCTTTGACGGCACCCAGTTCAAAGCTTGTTACACAGTTTATCATAGGAGGCCTAGCTTGGGGCAACCTCGTAGGGTAATGCGGTTATGTATGGGGCCATCACAGGGATCGGCTGAGAAAAATCTATCGTACTAACGCACAAGTAAAATTACCATGCTTGGATTTAAAGGTATACAGTAGTACCATATTTCTTATTTTACAGCCCCGAAGCTATCATATTTCGTGCGAGAAGACGAGCTCCCATACGGTGAAAGTATCCAACAGAATTTAGTGGAATACATGCATATACATATGAACGAATATAGCGTCGACACAGTGGTGATACAAGGCTGTTCAAATGTTTGCTGTATGCATCACTTTTAGTTTTGTTCGTTCATCTAGACGCATGCCAAAGCCTCCTAATTATGGTTTCCCCCCGCCTTCCCCCCCAAGCATAACCCCGCGTCGATATTAGACTCAAAGTCCCCCTAAGGCCCAACAGGCTTATAACCCCTTGACTGACCCCGCCGTGGAAATTGGCCAGGCGTCTAAGCCAAGTCATACATCTGCCATCACCATCGCACCCCTTTGCCCTGCCCTCATCGGAGGCCATAGTACAAACGATACCCCGTCATGTCAACGAGCACGAAAGAATCTGAGCTCCGGAAGCGAATATTGAACCAACGGCTGCCCACCTCAGTCGAGAGAGTACGCTTCTTTCCGGATTGCGACTTGAAACAGATGCTTACTTATGACGTGGTTGCCGAAGTGATTGGGGAGTCGAACATCCCTTTTCATGATCGAAGAGGTGTTATTAAGGACATCCTCGACGGCGCTCAGAAGATATTTTGCATCCTGGTGTGCATTCGACACGTAAATTATATGCACTTACTTCTTCAGTCTGGGGTCGTGGACGCTAAACTCGCTTTATCTAAGGAGGGTTTGGTATCTTTTGGTCTTCCCATTCCTGCAGTCGAGGAGTTTTGGCATCAGCAATGGGATTTCATAGCTCCTATTTTCAAGAGTCGCATCCAGAAACTGGACCCGTCTTGCATCTTACCCTTTAAAGAGGAGCAAGACTTGGGGGAAGGTGGCTATGGGGCAGTCTCGAAGGTGGTTCTCTACCGTTCTCATCAAGACCTAGTGTCTATTAGTGGCCCTGGAGATACAGTAGGTTCCGGTATCCAGGAATCACTACCCGCAGTTAGTGCTAATATTTACCTAGGTGGTTGTTGCACGCAAGCGGATCAAGCACGTTTCTGCGAAAACTGAGGCATATTTTGAAAGTGAGCGAGGGCCCCTTGAGCTTCTCAAAACTCGGGGTCACCCCCACATCATCAAGTTGCTCGGGTCATACTATCAAAACGATGACTATAACTTGTTCTTTCCGCTGGCCGAGGGAAGCCTTAAAGACCTTTTTGACGGAGGGCGACCGGGTTTCGATGTGGATACTGAAAGTTTTTATTCATCAATCGTTGGCTTATCCTCAGCGATAAACCACATACACAATTTTACATACGAGATGGGCGGAAAGAACATGAACTTCAAGGGTTACCACCACGATCTTAAACCTGCTAACATTCTTATCCAACAGGGGAAATTTGTCATCGCCGACTTTGGACTCTCGAAGTTCAAGGCCGATGCCAACACTTCCTCCACCATTCACAAGACGGGCACGGAAGCATATCTACCTCCGGAGACGTGTTCCATAGACCCGGAAACAAACTTTGATGACCGAATGGTTGGCCGAAGTGTCGATATCTGGGCCTTTGGTTGTATCCTTGCCGAGATAGCAACATACTTACTCCGTGGGTCTGGTGGTGTTGGCGAATTTAGCAGAAGAAGACTGACAAGGGTCTCTGCGAACATGAAAGATAACTCATTTCATGCTTATAACGAAGTAAAAGAGGAAGTCAGGGAATGGCTAAAATCCCTAGAGATCATGGCAGAAAGAGATCCTCAAATCTCGCGCTTGATACAGGTTGTTTGGAAGACACTCATACCCGACCGCAAAAAACGGCCAACTGCACAGGCTGTCCTGGAGGAAGTCTCGGTACTCGATCCAGAGACAGCTACAAATATGGAATTGTTTGTCTCACAAGGAAGGACAGCACTACCACTATCTCCGCCGATATCTCCAGCAGGCTCACCTCAATCCCGGTCCCAAACGACATCACCTGGCAGTGGGACATTAAGTGATCGCTGCGGTATAGCCGTCCTGAGCGAGGGCACCCGCGACCTAGGATTACGGATAGAGTATGTAGCATACCCGGTTGTTTTAGGTTTGGCTAACATCTCTGGAAACCAGTGTGGTAGCCCTTCACGGACTTAATGGAGACCTGTATACTTGTTGGCAGGTAGGTGATGGGCCTATATGGTTGAGGGATTTCCTACCATCAGACGGAATGCATCTTCCTCACATTGTATCCTATGGCTACGATTCTGAGCGCCTGTTCACCCACCTTTCCAAGGACAATTTGGAGAAAGAAGCGCATAACTTCCTACGTCAAATTCAGAAGAGGAGAGAAATCCAGGGGGTATGAACACTCAGTTATGCTGAACTAGTCAAGTAGGTTAACAAATAAAGGCATCTACTAGACCCATAATATTCCTTGCGCATAGTGTAGGCGGATTTCCTTTGAAGCAGGTATGAGCTTTCCATCATCTGGTACCCTCAGCAATGGCTAACCGCCCCTCAACAGGCGATTTTACTAGCAAAAGGAAGTGACGAATACCGGGACCTTTTCAAATCTATATGCGGTGTTACCTTCTTTGGAACTCCCCACCGAGAGCACGGGATTTTCCATAGCATGGGAGCATGTCTGCGTAAGATTTCCAGAACAGCTTCGGTCTCAGAACAGAGTCGAGAACTTCTTAGGCAGAACATGTGTGATAATGACCAGCTCCTTAAAGCAGTGAATCACTCGTTCGAGACCAGGATTTGCACGCCCGGGAGCAATCTTCGGGTAGTCAACTTTTACGAAACTAAGCCAACACCGCCAGGATTAGGGGTGGTATGTCTCAATTATTTTGCATGTTGCTATATAACCCAGAGGCTGATTATGAAATGAATAAAGGTTGTTGATAAAGATGCTGGCACTATGGGACTAAATGGCGTGGACGAGAAAATCTACGGCCTCGAACTGAGTCACCCAGATCTTTGCAGATATTCTTCTGAAACTGAGCCTTCATACAAGGTGGCCTTACGCGGAGTCCGTCTCTTGACCAGGATTTCTGCCGATGAATACGGCTCGAAGCAAGCAAAAGAGCTAGAGCAGGAGGTTCCATATATTAACAATTGTAACTCTTCACTTCAGGAATATTCCCGGCCTGCCCTTGCTAACATAGGAACTCATATACAGATCAACAATTCAGCCCAGAAATACACGTCAACAACATTTTACCTCATCTACCAATTATCCCGTCTTTACAGCGGCCGTCAACGGGATCACGACTGACACAAAATTTCAACACGACACCACCACACCAGCCCACCACGACACCAAAAACCGCGCCCCGCACCCAAACCAAACCTCCCCCTCCACCTTTTCACACTCCGCTGAAAAAGAAACAACCCCCACCCCCACCGCAACCACAACCACAACCCCAGGCCCGAGCGCACACAGCCCCACCTCAACAGTCCCAAAAGAAATCCCAAACCCAAAACAAGAACAGCATAAACGCCATCGAGAAGAGGCTAGCGAATGTCGGCGGGAGGAAAAGCAACATAGCAGCGGAAATAGTCGCCCGCCAAAAAGAGCGCAAGGGCTTGAGACTGCGGCGCCAAGAGCGCGGCGAGCAGTGGTTCTCTGACGAAACCAGGAAACTGGAGAAACGCATTACGGAGCTGGAAGCGCGTCGGACTGAGGCGCATAATGAGCAGGAAAGGCTCAAACTAGAGTTGATTGGCGCGCGTACGGTGCACGGTCACCGGACTGCGTGATCGGCAGGAGGGGATATGGTGGTAGCTTGTAGAGTTTACGGTCAATGGGTGTAGAGTTCGGTGTACTCGAGTACTGTACAGATTGCCCGCTGAGGGCTCCGTTGAGGAGGGGCGGACGGAAGAAGGATGTAAATTGCAAATTTAAATTGACCGATTCGCACTGCCAGAGCATGCACCCTCCAACAAGTCACCCCTTCCCACTCCTCTCCAGACAATTATTGATACTGAGTCACAGCTTTCTAAAAACATTGGTTGAAACTCACGAGTGAGGTTCTGTAAGCCCTGGCCGAGCGCAAAACACCCCCCAAGCGCGGAGGAAGAGCTGTACAGTACATACACAATAGGAGAAGTGCAGCACTTGTAACAGTATTGTACATAGAAACCACTCATCGGAAGCTCACGAAGTCCGGTACATCATCCCGCAAAAAGGAAAAGGGAAAGGAAAGGAAAAAGGAAAGAGAGAGAAAGAGAGGATGGAGAGAAAGCATACCGGTACCTCTGTATTGTATTGTACATTACTTGAACACCGCACCAACCTATACTAAGCCTATAAATCCTGACCAACCCGAACCGACTAATCGCGAGTGACAAAGCATGACTACACGAACCGACAGAAATGGACCGCGGGAGTACTATGATATATCGTTAGCCGAGGGGGATAGATCCTGCGAGGGAAGAGAGGAAGGAAGGTGGAAGCGAAGAGGAGCATATGCCCTCGCCCCTCCCCCCCCACCTTTCCCCACCATGCCGCCTCGTGAGTACATACTATGATCTCTAGGTTTTTAATCGCAGTATAATATTATTCTGTATGATAGGTGCTGTATCTTCAATGCATGAGTAGGCGCAGCCGCTAGTGCTAGTTTCAATAATTTGTTGTTATCCTGGTGGGGTAGTAGTAGTGGTAGGGTGCTAAGTTAGAACGCATAAACTATCATATGAATTTACAGTATCATACATATATGATACTTTCACCATATCTCACCCAAGCAGTAAAACTCGGCAGTCAAATTTTGCTCACAATCATGCAAACCCATAGGGATAAGACTTGGTAATTCTATCTATGATAACTAGTAGTAAGACTAAACCTACAGAAAGAACTCCGGCAGAAGTCACAAAGTCAATCAGCACCCTAGCAGAGCATGCATCGCACGACACTTACATATCGTATGATATCATACACACAAAAAAACAAAAACAACCTCTATCTTGCACCCATCCATCAATCAACCAATCGATCAATCGATCAACAAAACAAGCAAGCAAACAGGCGGTATAATATCAACGCAGGAACTTAGATAAAAACACGAGCGATTTAAAAACTACATATACCACCCACTAAGCAATGTTTTTCGCCCCCCTGGCCGCAAGCTTCTCCCTAAAGAAACGATTTATTCATCTAACCTTGAGTGGATCATGCCAACAGAGAGAGAGAAAAATAAAACTAAGAACAGGAGACCAAGAAAAATAATATAAAAGGAAATAACGAAAGAAAAGCCACTTTTGATCACGCCGATGAACATTCACAATTTAACGGGAGAGGGGGGGGAATGCAACCAGAGACGTGCTAATGATGATAGTATTGGTGGTGTTGAAGAGGTTTTTTGCTGCCTTTTCTGCTTAATTCTCCTACATTACCACGTCGTTGGGATTAGTGTCGTTACTATCGTCTTGTGCTATTTCGATAAGAGTTCCAGTTCCCATGAAGGCTCTCTTGGCCATCTCTTCTAGAGCACCCAGTTCCCCGCTCGACTCACACATCTCGCGGAAGAGGCTGTCTTTTTTCTGCAGGAGGTTGTGTGGGCAGTCGAATTCCTTGACCCCTCCTTGATCGAGAACGAGAACTTTGTCGTAGAATATGATCGAATTGAGACGATGGGCGATGGTGATAGTTGTGGACTTTAGCTCACGGATTGTTGCCTGGATTTTGGTGTCGGTTGAGTAGTCGATTGAGGCCGTGGCTTCGTCCATTAGTAACACTACTGGATCCTTAAGGAGCGCTCTCGCGAGACATAATAATTGCCTAAATCATACAGTTAGTTCAGCTTCGCAGTGTAAAGTTTGGAGAGGATATCCTACTTTTGGCCTTGGGAAAGGTTGTTCCCGGATTCAGAAATAGGGCTATGTAAATCAAGGAATACATTCTTATTAAGGGTAGAATCGTCTCCAGCGACCGGAGCAGCTACCTCTGGCACCTCATTGATCAACTGCACACGTTTCAAAGCATTGAAAACCTCTCCATCGGTATGGACACCGAAAGGATCCAGATTACTCCTGATTGTCCCAGTGAAAAGAGTAGGATCCTGAGGCACCATGGTGATGGACCGTCTAAGATCCTGCAGCCCAATCGTAGATATATCCATACCATCAATCACGATCTTACCGGTTTCCGCCTCCAAACTCCTGAATAATGCAAGTGCCAATGAACTCTTTCCAGCTCCAGTCCTTCCCACAATACCTACCTTTTCAAGTGGCTTGATGTTGAAAGTGACATTCTTCAGGACCAAATCCAAACCAGGGCGATAGCGGGTTGAATAGTTTTCGAAAGCTACACCACCCTTCTCAGGCCAAGTGCTTACTGGCCTGTTGTCAGGGATGATATCAGCAGCTTCTTGACCAACCTCAAGATACTCGCGGATTCGCTCGACTCTGGGGAGAAATAGTAGTTAGCATTGCTGAATGAGGTAGTCTTTAAAATACGTACGAATTCATATTTTGCTCATTCATAGCATAAAGTCGCACAAGCCATAGTATGTTATCGGTAAACGTGATGGCGTATGTTAGTGAAAGACCAGCCAACCCTGCGTCAATTTTGCCAACACTGAGAACCACAAAGGCTCCAGCAAAAAATGAGACCAATGCTCCGGCGATATCAACTCTAAAACCAAGCCAACGATTGCAAGCCCATAGGTAGAAGAAAGGGCGATGGTGGTTGTCTATCTTTGAGAGGTTATCCCTAACAAACCGCCTCTCATCACCATAAGCCCGGATGGTGGAAATTCCACTTAAAGTTTCACCAAAGTGTTGATACAGAGGGCTTCTCTGGATTGATTCCAATCGCTTCAAATCTCTTGAAGCTCTCAGGTAGAACGCACCAATCAACCAGTATAGCAAAGCGATGACCACCGCGGGGCCAAGGAACCCGGGTGTGATGAACGAGATCAGGATAGCAATACCGATCACTGATGCTAAAGAGTGAATCATGCCTAAAGCCACAGGTGCAACCTCTTGATCAACGGCTTCCATATCTTTAGAGAACCTATTGATAATCCGCCCAAGTGGTGTCGAATCAAAGAATCGAAACTTGGCCCTCATTACGTTATATAACAGTTGATTGTGAATATTCTTTGAGGCAATCAAGCTACCATAAAAAACGATAGCCTCTCGAAGGAACGAAACAAACGTATATGCGAAACCTATAAGCGCGTAGACCCCCAGATAATATACCAGGTTTATGTCATCGGTATTTTCGGCGATCGTGATAGACTCCGGTGAGGAGTTGTAGGAGAGTGGCCAAATGCAAGACCCAGAAGAGAAACAGCTTCCAAAATATCCGATAGAAGAAACAGGCGCATTGCGGGCACTGATGATCAACTCAGGAGACTCAACAGACTCATATCTGAGAGCCCATTCTCGAATCCAGACCGCTGTCCCAATAGAGCCAACCTGTTGCGCCAAAAAGGTAATTACGACGATGATCCAGTACCACCACGGGCCCATGGATCTAAGGTACAAATAATAAACTCTCCAATCAACACTACCAAGAGCTTTTGTCTCTTCTCCTGAAATCTTGTCTTTCTTGGCAGCAGACTCCTCCCCATTGGTGCTTGGCTTTGTAGGACTGGGTAATTGGATTCCTCCATTCATTGGAGCTTCACCAATAAAAGAGGGCACGCGGGAAGGCATTTGTGAATGCGGTTTGGATCTAATCCCCGACCTGAGAAGCTCGTCATTTCCAAGAGCTCCGGATGCGACAACGATATCCGGGCTGCCTTGCATTATTACTCGACCATTATCGAGCACTACTACGTGCTTGGCCTCCGGGACACAGAGGGCAACATTATGGGTAACCAAGATGCAAGTTCTGCCTGCCATTAGAGGACCCATGATACAATAGTCATAGATCCATTTCGACGTGTGAGAGTCAACCGCCTAAACTTTTGTTTAGCAAATATCCGAAGGGTTGGGGGTCTTGATGAACCTACGCTCAGACAATCGTCAAGTAGAATATGACTAGAGTTTGAGTATAATGCTCTAGCAAGCGATATTCTCTGCTTCTGGCCTCCTGATAGTGTTATACCTTTCTCACCAACCTCGGTCTCATCGCCATGATCCAAGATCTGCAGATCACGCTCCAAAGAACACGCTATTAGAACAGAATGGTATCTCTCTTCGTCATATGGGCTAGCGAACAGAATATTGTTCTTGATCGTGTCGTTGACCAACCACCTACCGAATTGTTAGCAACTTAATAGCTGCCGATCCATCCCAATATTCGAAACTTACGCTTGTTGTGCACAATATGCTACGGATTCTGTCAATCCCGTAACCGGATCTGGAATCAAATCTTCTCTACTGTGAGCTCCCGGGAGGTGTACACTAACCAAGTAAGCAAGTGATATTGCCAAGTCGCCAGATCAGAAAACACCTACCTTCCCTTGATATATGTCATTTCACCAAGCAACGCCATCAGCAAGGACGTTTTCCCAGATCCTGTCGGCCCAGCGATAACGTTCAGGTACCCCGGAGAAAATTCAATATTCAAATCTTGCAATTGAAAAGCCGATCCCATTCCCTTGTTTTTAATCTGTTTTCTATTGCCCCAGGAGAAAGTAGCATCCTTGAACCCGATCAAAGGAGCGTTAGGATCCACCTCGTCCGGCTGCTTCAGTTGATGATACTTTTCCGTCTCCTCCTCTGACAAATATTCCTCAACACGGTCGATGGAGACCTTAGTCTGCAAAACGTTGGTGACCATATCCGCAAGTTGGTCCAGTGGGACCCGAAGGACGTTGAATAACGACAACGCCGTAAACGCAATTGGAGAATCGAGTGTCTTCCCCTCGACTACTGTGTAACAGAGGAAACTAAGAAAAGTGATAACGATGGGAGACCCGTACCAGGAAGTAGCAGCCACAGCCCACAAGATATACCTGTTCCTTAGCTGTAAGAGCTCGGCGGACCTAGATTGACCTACGACTTGAGCAAACCGGGCTTCCCAAGCGAAAAATTTGATAACCCTAATATTCTGAAGCGCTTCGTTTGTGGTATGAATCCTCTCATCGGTAGCCGCCATGATCTTTTTCTGAATTTGACTGAATCGACTAGAGATGAAATAGTTGATGGGAAGGAGGAAAAACATAACAACAATTCCCGCAATTGAACTCCAGCCAAGGATCTGGTATAGAAGAACTACGGCTATCGCCACTTGTACCGGAACACCCGCAACCTAACTTGGTTAGTATACACTCCAGTCTCACGGGATCTGTAGCCACATACCAGGAAGTGTAGGTAAGCACAAACTTCTGCCACTTTGAACGAATCAACAGACATCAGATTGATGATTGCACCAGCATTTGCCTGCTCTCCATTGTCTTCAGTCGCAATAGCCTTGCCTTCACTATCCTTCTTTCCATCGTGTTTGCCTTTTGGTCCTAATGCGCGATCTGCCCCGGCCGCTGCTCTCCTTCTGAGAGTTTTTGCGTAAATCTCGCCAACAATCACAGAATGAAGACGGATACAGATCCTCCGACCGATGTAGAGAGCTTGGCCGCTACCAATTGCCTGGACAGTCGCAGTGACGAAAAGCAATACCACAAACAGCCATGCAACATTCTTAGGCGTATCCTCCGGCGACTTAACATACTGCAGGATGATTCGTAGCAGTAACGTAGGCGCAAAAGTAAACATCGAATAGAAAACCGCCCAAGCAGCCTGCACCGCAAGTTCGCGCTTAAAATGTTTTGCCAATGTCCAAGCCAGTGTATGCGCTTTTCTATTCAAACAATTAGTATCCAAACTCGTACTGCTTCACAGGTAATGTAACTTGCCTGGTTTGGCGATAAGTTGACAAAACTGTAACAGCGATATCATCATTTCGGAGATTCCAGACGTCGTGAAGCTCAAATGACTTCCAATAGCCCTTCCAAATCAGAGGGTCTACCCAACTAAAGCTTGCCAGAGAGAAGAGGGAGGCCAGCGGTTCTCGGGAAGGTTCAAGCCCATCCACAATCTCTTGAGTAACCACTTTATTCCCCGCACGGCTGGTCACAGCTATGACACACAGAACAGAGACCAAGACAAACCGAGTAACGATTAATGCTTGTGAAACAGCAGATTCCGGGTGAATCAAGGCAGAGCGGAAAGATACAGCGATCAGGAGGAAGTTAAGCATATACAGAAACGATGTATGATACCATAAGGGAGGCAAGTCGTAAGATGAGGAACCCGAGAAAACGAGTCGGAGAGTGGCAAGAACGAATATGTAAGACTATTTCCATTAGCCTTTATATTTCCGCAGTATTTAAAAAAAAATTCCAGACCAACCCAAGTAATCAGACTTGCCATGAAAGGCAATCTTTCAATATGCCTGATAGCTTCTGTGTTCATTGCGGCATCAGCAATGGAAATCCCCAACAACCCCAAAATCGCCAATTCCTCACAAACAACGAGCGCAATTTCCCCATGAGGTCTATCAATCTTCAACTCATGTACAGTAGTTCTGCTAATTGTATGTCGCAAACTCAGGTGCTCAGCAAATTCGTCATCATCTTCATCCGTATCTTCACCGTCGTCGCTATCATGCGTAGGCACTCCAACGGCATTCTCATAAATCGGAAGCTGGCGATACTTTTTTGAACGCCAGGATTTGATTTTCTTAGGCACCACAGAGGACAGGAGCCATAAGAGAGAAATTCCGACCAATGTTAAGGGTAATATGAATTGGACGAAACTGTTGCCCGGGCCCAAAATTAGCGCCGGTTAGCCACCCTCGAAAGCAATAATTTCATTGCAATAAAGAAAACAAAAATGAAAGATTAGGATTCTGCTTACACCCTCCTAACACAGAGCGTAAAATCGTCACCCCTCCAATAAGGTGGCTTGCATTGCAGGAAATGCATTCCGAGATAGATTCTCGGAGGATTGGTCGTGTTTGCTCAGATGAGGTGGATTAATCGATGTGAAATAACGGGCCGTCAACGCCAGGTTTATCAAAGACAGAGGGGGTTGAGGTTCCTGACCCACAAGTCTACCGAATTGAGAACCGGCGGTAACAAGGCGCAGGTGTTTGGGGGACGACAACGTAAGGTCCTTTGTTGTAAAGTGGTGAAGGGGGGAGGAAGTCTAAAAGCTTGTTGTTTTCGTCGTCCGAGAGAAGCGAAAGGAAAGAAAATCTTGCCCTTCTCTTCTGGTACTCCTCCCTCAGCTGTTTTTATAGCTTATTCTTCTTCTTCTTCTTCTTCTTCTTCACCAGTCCCAAAGAAGGTGCAGGGAGTCAGACAACGGAAGCCAGCCGCGAGTACAGTACTTGAAGTAGATTGCCGGTACAGGAGAGTAAGCCAAAGCGGAAAGGAAGAAAAGGTTATGAGTCTCTTTCCTTTTTAAAAAAAAGGTTGAGTCAGAAAAACGACAGGCGAACGAGGTAGGAGAAGGATCTTGAAGGGGTTTGAAGGAGGAAGACGTGAAAAAATAAATTATCATAGGATAAAGTCTATCATAGGATGGGGGTTTTCTAGAGTTACGACAGGACCAGCTACGATAGAGTTAACTCCAGACTTGAGACTTCAGCCCCCCACAATACTTCTCTGCCTTCACACCCATCCTCCTCATAGTGCTTGTACTGGTGATACTACGAGTATACTGATAATTTACAAAGCTCTTCTCGGTTCCCAGAAAAATGCCAACCTGCGCGCCGTAAAGCCGAGAGCGTGTTGAGGTTAATCCTAGGAATGCCGCCCACGTTCATCCATTCCCCCGCAGCGACAAATTTTCTTGTCACCAATGCCGTTGGCAGCTGGGGAAGACAGGAGAGAGTGAGGCACAGGGCGGAAGCGGATACCGTACCGGTATTTCTCTCATCCAGTGACTCGAGTACTCGAGTACTGTACTCGTATCATACCGGTAGCAGACACCCCTCCAAGACGTCATATCTCGGGTATGCGATCGCCATGCACTGCCTCACCAAATGAAAATGTCCCTTTCGTCTCTGTTCTCACCAACTTATTGTAGCCGAGACATGGTTTCACGCAAACTTAAACCATAGTTCAGCCTACGGTACTGTACAAGTACCGGCAGTTGGTTGCTGGTACAAGTACTCGTAGCAGGTAGGTCCCTTTCTTCCGACAGGTCAAAACAAGAGCCAGCTTTAGATTAGACCACAGTACCGGCACTCGGGTACTCGGGCAGCTTATCCTATATACACCGATAGGTTGGCTCTACAGTTTCTGGGCACCGTACTCAAGTACTCGTACCAGCACTGTAGAAATTGAGTGTCTGGCAGAGCATGAGTATCCAAGTACCGCGGTACCATACTCGAGTACAACTAGGGTCTCAGAGACCACCATATCCCGAGATGCGCCTCAGGCCTCCACTCAGGAATACCAAAGTGTATGTATAATACGTCGCTATCGCGCTCTGTGCCCCCCATTTTATGCTTATCGTGTCGGCTACGATAGAGCAGCATTTACGGGTACGGTACGGTACAAGTACTACACTCGCTTCCCTCAAATCTTTCCGAGTCTCTCTCCCTGGTGTTACCGTGACTCAAATCTTCATAAATTGTAGGTCCCACGTGATAGATGGCCGGAAAACCCCTCCACAAATGAGTTCTTACTGTAGAAACTCAATGGTTGGATAGCAACCACAGACTCGTTCTCGCCTTAAAACAGTTGAATTGAATGCCATAGCACACGGTAGCCTATGACATATCACTCTGATATCCCAGTCATTCTTATTGAAACCCTGAGCAAAAATACGGTATGCCAAACTAAATAAGGCCCTCCTCGCAACTTCGTATGTAAGAGTTTGATATCTCAAAACGGAACTCTATTCAGACAGGAGAGAAAAAGAAAAAAGTCTGTTAACGCAAGGAACTATCACCAGAACGCAGAAATCCCTCATAAATTATGTTCTAGGTCTAGCTACAGGTTCCCAAGAACCAAGTTTCGGCTTTGTCCTATTGCCTCAGTCAATGCCATCAATCTCTCTCGGTTTAAAAATCACTTAAAGGCACTCTGATACGCACGTGGAGTAAGGCTTATATGCACCCCGACTGAAAGTTAGATTGCCGAGGTGCTCTGATTTCTCCCAAGATCTAACTTCGTGCTTCAGAACAGGTTCGGCCCCAGGCGGTTTGTCGACCATATAAGCGAGCCAAGCATGCCTGATCTCTTTGTCAATTCTGGATACTAGGAAACGCAGCACAACTACCGGCATATATAGCCTACCATCCAGGTTCAACGTGCGAACTAAATTTTCGAAGACCTTGTCAGCAAATCTCCAACTCAAGAATGCACAAAACCCGCCGGTGAGAATGGCTCACGCATCGTATTCCTTCCACTCCTTGTAATCAACCCATTTTGTCCTCACTACAAATTATGGGTCATCAAATATCAGCTTCCAATCCTACCAACAAAAGTTTCCAAAATCTCCCACTCACACGGCAACTCTTCTTCGTTATTCTCATAGAATTTGTTTCCGGAACGATCTGTGCCAACGAGAGTTCCGGCCTTGGTATCACCTATAATATTGTTAATGGGATCTCGTTACCCCTACCCAGGTTGAGGGTTTTGTTATACCAATGCGCTATGGGGAAAAAATCAGTTAGTAAACGAGATGTCGCGAGATGAGAATCAGGGAATAGTAGAGGAGCATCGCACGTTCATCTGGTACACATATTGGCGGGGTCCGATTCGTAAGAGATACTTCAGGGTCCTTGTAAGTGTCGACATCCTTGCGGGTAGGCTAATAAAAGCCTTAAGCCTCTGGCGCCACTTGAGAATAGGAGAGGAAGAGAAGATATCATGGAGAGGGCGAAATACCTTATATGACGTGGGGTATCGGTCCGGGGCGGTTGGTGCTGGGAAGCGTGGTCATAATCCGGTGCGGCTTGCGGAAGTTACCCTCCCACAAGTGATCAGCACACGGACCATACTGGTACTGGAGGAAATTTATGCACTCGCTAGTTAGGTTTTCAATTGAGCCTCCAATTGAATTCTTGATTTTGAACCCTTTTGACAGCTACTACCGGTATGATACGGTATTCGTACTTGTACAGTACATCGAAGCTTCCTAACCAACCACCAAGAAAGTTTGTCTAATACCGCTACACGCTGGAAGCTATTCATGATAGTCACAACTCTTCGAAACTCCCTCCCGCGACCAGCAGTCCGCTTGACGCGCTGCCGTCTTTGCGCTCGTTCTCGAAGGTCTTTTTCATCCTCTAATTCAGCTTTGCATCCCACTGCTCCCATCTCCGCTCTCACCCCCCCGATCCTAGGATCTCTCACTGGGGAGCTAGATAAACTCGCTCCTAGATTTGAGATTCGGGCAAACCAAATATGCGTTATAAAAACCCCCAGCGAATTCTATTCAGCTCTTAAGGTAATTGGTTAGTCCCGAATACTTGTATGTAATCATCATGGTATAAGAGCACCCAATTGACCTTATGAGGTAGGATCGGATATTGAAAGCTGAAAGACGGATCTTTTTATCCACATTATATATTGGGAAAACGGAGCATGAGCTTGTACGCCTTCAAGACCCCCAAGCCCGCCTGCCTACAAACATTCTCTGACGACCGATACTTCAAGATTGATATACTGAGAGAAGCGCTTCGCCGTCAGCCTAAGCTGAAAGTTTCAATATTGTCTGATGCATTAAGAGGGACCCGTGAAACCCCAAATCCATCTTGTGCATCACTCCTGGTACCTTTAATCTCTGAGTTTGGTGCAGACCGGGTGGAAATTCGGATGTATCACACGCCAAATTTGAAGGGATTAAAAAAGAAGATAGTACCCCAGAGGCTCAATGAGGGATGGGGTTTGCAGCACATGAAATTATATGGTATCGATGATGAGATTATCATGTCTGGGTATGTCGTCTTAGCTAATTTCCATATTCCGTATAGCTTCAGCTCATCTAAATGGTAGGGCGAATCTCTCAACAGACTACTTCACCAACCGCCAGGACAGATACCATATATTCTCCTGCCCAAACCTGACAGGTTACTTTGCTGGAATACACCACGCTATGTCTTCAATTAGCTACAATGTTCTCCCAGGTCCCAAAGAGCAAGGAGGATACGCACTCGAATGGCCAGAATCCAATCCAGCTCCGATACCTACGGAAGAGCCCAAGGAATTTCAGATCGCAGCAACTTCCCTACTCGCACCTTTGATAAGGCCGAAACTTACCCCTACCAAATCACCTTCGTCCACCCCTAAAACCGTTGTATACCCACTTGCCCAATTTACTCCCCTTCTCTACCCGCAAGATACTTCGACGGAGCACCCAGCACTATCTTCAGTTCTGCGGCTCTTATCCAGTGATGCTTTTGCCGATTCAAGGTGGGTCTTCACCGCCGGATACTTCAATATCCATACGCAACTTAAGAAGTTGTTATTAGCCTCCAAGTCAGTAGAGGGGATAGTTGTGACAGCTGCGCCGGAGGCGAACGGTTTTTACGGTAGCAAAGGCGTATCCGGGATGTTACCAGCCGCATACACTTTAATGGCAAGGCGATTCCTGGACGATGTAATAAAAGTGGGAAAGGGTGACAAAATTCTATTGAAGGAATGGAGGAGAGGTACGATTGGGAAGGATCCGGATGCTTGGACCTATCATGCGAAAGGTATTATTATGACCCGACGTGATATGTGGATAGGCATCTAATCAGACAACTAGGCGTTTGGATATCATTGCCCAATGAAGACGACCCGAGTATCACACTTATCGGTTCGTCAAATTATACAAAAAGATCTTATTCTTTGGATTTGGAAATCGATGCACTAGTGGTAACGGAAGACGAAGGGTTAAAAAAGGCATTGGGTGAGGAAGTCGCTTGGTTGCAAGATAATGCTCGTACTGTCACGATGCAAGATTTTGAGAGGACGGAAAGAAGAGTTTCCTTGAAAGTGAAGTTAGCGTTGTGGATCGTGAAGGCTATCGGAGGGCAGTTGTAATGGTATTGTACCACAAAAGTTTATTTTTCCAATAACCCGTGATAACCGCTTGTCTGTTGAAGTTAACGTTTCTTAGAACTGTGTCTCTACACCTGTTATATCATACCCGAAAACTGTAGATCATTGACCCTTGATTTTAATATTTCTAGGCGCGCTATATCGCTGTAATACCTCACTGAGGCTAAGCCTCTTATCCGGCAATCTCAAGATACCCCAAACCCTTATGAGGGCTTCGGGCTTCCATTTTTCGTCCAGTGCTCTTCGGACAATGATCGAGATTGATGTTAAGTTGGGACTGTTTTTCCGTTTAGGGCTTACCCTCCCCACCACACTCAAAGTGGCTTGGCATACCGCACACAAGCAAACCTTCCGCTGCAAATCTTTAACATCTCGCGGCCGCGACGATAATACACCAACACCAGCAACAGCAACACTTTTCCCAAATTCAACGAACCAGAACTCGCGATGGGAAGGCAAGTCGATACCTCCACCGCTACCGCCGACGACAATTTCGAATTTTGGGCTAATAAACCTGGGTATCTAGAGTCATCCGTAATCAGAGAAAGGGTGCCGGGTCTATCTTCAGTACGTTTCCTAGAATCCTTAGGTTTGTTGAAGTATAGGAAAATCAGCGCTAACCCATCGAACAGCTGCCCACACCAGGCTGCGAAAGGTACAATACACTCGGCCGATCAAAGACCGGCCGGAACCATTGATGCTGACTGCAACATTCGGTATAGAACCCTGCCAAATTCAGAACCCTCGACTACAGTGAGCGCCATGGCTACATCCGCGGTGTTGTGAAGGATATAATCCACGACCCCGGTAGAGGAGCCCCCCTTGCCAAGGTTGTCTTCCGTGACCCTTATCGTTACAAGCTTCGCCATGAGACGTACAGCCCCCATATACTACTACCATAAGCTCTTAGGCTGGTCGCTGATTTTGATTGGGGAATAGTTTTATTGCCAACGAGGGAATGTACACCGGGCAATTCATCTACGCCGGAAAGAAGGCCTCTCTTAGCATTGGAAACGTCCTTCCTCTTGGATCCATGCCTGAAGGTACCGTCGTCACCAACGTTGAGGAAAAGACTGGTGATCGTGGTGCGCTCGGAAGGACCTCTGGTAACTACCTCACCATCATCGGACACTCACCCGATGAAGGAAAGACCCGTATCAGGCTCCCCTCTGGTGCAAAGAAGGTCGTTCCCTCTGCTGCCCGTGGCATGATTGGTATTGTCGCTGGTGGTGGAAGAACCGACAAACCTCTCCTTAAGGCTTCTCGTGCTATGCACAAGTACAAGGTTAAGAGGAACAGCTGGCCCAAGACTCGTGGTGTTGCAATGAATCCCGTCGACCATCCTCACGGAGGAGGTAACCATCAACATATCGGAAAGGCCTCTACCATCTCTCGTTACGCTTCGCAAGGTCAAAAGGCTGGTCGTAAGTGCTTCTTAGGAAGGAGACCTCCTGGAAAGAGATGTCAGCTAATTGGCCTATCTAGTTATTGCCGCTCGTCGTACTGGTCTCCTTCGTGGCACGCAAAAGACCAAGGATTAAACGTAATTGGGGTTTGTTACGGTCTTCTGTTTTTTTGTTGGTTGGGTTCTTTTTCTTTTTCTTTTTCTTTCCTTCTATACAAAAGGGGATGCCTAGGGATTGGGAACAAAAAAAAAAAAAGGTTCAAAACAAATCCATGGTTACATATCCCTCGGGGAAATGCGTTTTTGCATCGTCATATGAGGACGCCACGATTTTCACAACCCAAAAGTTCGGGCTTGTTACACCCGCGGATGCTGTTGGATTGGTTTCTTCTGATTTTCTGGTGGGCTAGCGTAGATGATGGTATGGAGATGGGAAGGTGGGGCGTTGGTTGTTTGTGGATAAACTCGAGTACAGGCATGATGAGAGTCGCACACCTAGACGAGAGAATTCGATATGAACAAGCACCCGGCACCAAGAAACCGGAATCACCCTCCCAAATGCGAAAAAAATGTACCCAAGTCTAATGCCGGTAGCAGGGTATTATCGTCGTAGAGGAGAAATGGCGTCTTGAGCCTAGTCTATTTCGCCCCGCGAGTGCCTTGAACGGGGTGAGGGGAGGCGTATTACTCTACTCTACTCCAAGAAAAGAGGCCGAAATTATCTTATCCGATAAGCAAGATCTCATGTAATATTACGACAAAATGCCGAAGGAGCGTCGTTCAAGTGAGCTAATTCATTTCGAGGTTTTTTTTTGGCCAGACCTCCGCCATGTCTTCGTGAGGAATGTGATACCCGGCGTTTTTCTTTTCGGCCCTATTTGGCATGCCACAAAAGCGGAGCCTTTCCTACTTTTATAGCGCTTTTTTCTCAAACAGTGGGTTGTTTGGCGCGCCAGAAAAATGGAGTTTTTTATTTGGAGCCTCGTAATTTAAGTTTTTCCAGTTGTATATATTACGGGTGGGACCATAAAAGTACTCGTATCCGGCAATAAGTATCTGAAAACCGGGGGCATAAGACCAGGGGGATGGCCAGGGTATGACAGGGATTGTGGAAGGGATTAACTAGTATGTGTTTTGCTGTCCGGTAGGATATCAGAGGTCAAAGCAAAGATATTGAGTCCTATTAAACGTGACATGAGAATAGGAGGTAGAGAATTGTATGTGAAATCAAACACCTGCTTTACATCACGATACAAAAAAGTACCAAAATGCCGGTCAAGACCCATGAGACATCCTACAAGCAGAGATGCACCATCCAAGGTCTTCGATTTGAGGCAAAGTGGACCTATGAACAGATTGCTGATAATCAAAATGTCAGTATTGGAACCGCCTAGAATATTTGCCATGCTCCTGCGACTCCTAAAAAGAGAAAGGATCATCCGGAGAAGCTTGATACACCGACCAGATATCAATTAATTCAAACTGCGACCCTCAATGCTGAAAATAGACGAAAACCGATGCTCGAGATTGCCAAAATCTGTGGTATTCAAGCCTCCGAACGCACACTACGGAAAGCCTGGAAGAAGGAGGATTATGGGCGACGTGTTGCTCAAAGAAAGGTTTTTCTTACAGTTCCAGTGAAGCAAAAGAGACTAGAGTTTGCTTCCGATCACCAGAATTGGGCTCGAGAAATTTGGAGAAATGTACTGTGGACTGACGAGGGTTACGTTTAGTTGGGAGGAGTTAAGGGTCATGTTTTCATCACAAGGAAGCCTGGCGAAGAATACATAGAGGACTGTATTGTGCCGAAGTTTAAGCAAGAAACCTCGGTCATGATTTGGGGAGGGGTTTTAGGAGGAAAGAAAATACCACTAGTCCTGTGGGAGAAAGAAAACTGGGGTACAATCATAGCACAAGCTTATATTAATCATGTACTTACACCAGTCTTGTATCCATTTTGGTATTGGGAAAATCATGCTCGACATTAGCAGACAAAGATTTGGGTCATGGAGGATGGAGTCTCAGCACATCGAGCAAAACTTACCAAAGCTACCCGGGAATATTACCAGATATCCTCTCTTGTTTGGTCCCCTTCATCACCAGACTTGAACACGATTGAGAATATTTGGTATATTCTTAAAGATTGTTTAAACAAGCGCTCTGTTCGTCGTAAAGGCATTCAAGAGTTAAAAACCGCTATTTTGGAGGAGTGGGAAAGTCTTACAGTGGAGGAGATACTAGGCTATGTTTATTGTATGCCAGAGCATATAGAAGCTGTGATAAATGCTTTAGGAGGACATACACGGTAGTGAATGTACATAGATAGAAAGTCATCAAAATACCCTCCAATTCACAAAGTGTATACCGATTAATCCCATTCACAATCCCTGTCATATCCTGGCCATCCCTCCAGTCTTATGCTCCCGGTTTTCAGATACTTATTGCCGGATACGAGTAATGACATGCTCTGTCTCTGCGATTTTCCTGTAGATTGAAATGAAATTAGCGCCTCCAAAATAGAAATAGACCTAAAATCAATACCAATGACCTCACATCACCATAGCTGAAATGGCATCTCAGCTTGGTGGAAACCGCTCAAAAATATCAGGGTCCCCTACCCCCTGGTGGTCTCTCTCAAAGCCCCTAGTTCACTGAATTTTATAGTGGAATTAGAGCAGTTATCCTCCATCTAAGCCTACCAGAAGGTTCAGCACTAGTAGAAAAGCTACATGATCAGGATTAAGAAGACTTCTTAAATGATAACCTCCTAGCGGCAACACTCCAAATCGAGATTCAGGATGGTGGTGGGTCTTCAGGACCACATCACATCCCTTAACGGAAAAATCGAAGAACTGGCGAGCACAGTCAAAACACTCTCAAATAATGCCAGGGACCTGTCCACCAATGTTGCGGTGAATATGACCAAGACACATGCTTAGGCCCAAACTCAACAACAGCAACAGCCCCACATATACGCTAGTGCAGCTGCCACACTACCACAAACCCACAACCCAAAGACCTTGGCTAAAGGGAAAAAGTGCTTAGGGACAGTGGGGCCAACTCCTCCACAAAAACCACAATAAAAATGCACAAAGGATGTACACTCTGAGGAACTGCCAGAACCCGAGAGTACAAAGGAGTTTAACTCCACTAAGATAACCCAACCCAAGATGCTAAATACAGCCCAAAGGAGGATCTATGCTACCTACAAAGACCCTGCCCTACTGGCTGACTTGGCTAAACTTGAGGCTAAGATAAGTGTGGCTATTGCCAAGGAACTTCAGAAATGCAGTTACATGGCCCCTACTAACCTTCAAATTTAAATCAATTCAAACTCTGGAACAGTGACGCTTACAACACTCCCAATGGTGGATTCTAAAGCAGATGAAAGCTACCTCACCCTGATGTCAACTGCACTATCGAGTACAATACTGGAGGAGTATAGGAATTATGACGAATTCAGAAGCGCCCCCACAGAATGCCAGTTAGTGATCTATGGGGTTAATCTGAAAGCAATGACCAATAACGAAGATACTATGTCCTCAATTGTTAAGGAAGATATCTTCATCGGAAACAATGTCAATACGTCCATGGCAAGGTTTTTGCAAAAAGACCTGGATATCAGGGCCGATAAGAAGTTTACCTCTATCGTTGTCACTATTCCCGCCAAAGATGCAGAACACCTCACGCCATAAGTCCTACTCCATGGAAGATGGAAAACAGCTGCTGTTATGTGGCGAAAGAACCCATCCAAATAGTATAGGAAGTGCTACAAATATGGACACCCAGAGGAAGGCTATAAGGACAGCAAACCTACTTGCCCCATCTGTGCTGGTGAACACAGACTCCAGGACTACAAATGTACCTCCCCAACCTGCCCAAAGAAGAGAGACTAGAAGATCATTACTAGCAGTGGTCCAAGAACCCCTGCCAAATGCACTGCATGCTGTGAAGACCACCTCGCATATGTTGCTTATTGCCCGAAAAAAATACAGGATAAAGCAGATACGAAGGCACACTATAAACTCCGCAGAGGATCCCGCTCTGCTGAGGAGATGGAAACAGAATATTAACAATGGTTGAGTTATTGAGTAACCATTACGATACTCATTTGTATGAATTTTCAATAGTACAGCATAATCCCAGGGGAAGCAATATAGGGTTTTTAACTTTATTTTCACTCATTAGAAATAGAAATATTTCCTTTATGTGCTTGCAAGATCCGCCTTTGTTTCAGGGACAACCCCTTCGGGCCCCTAGTTTTCAATGTTTTTCAGCAAATGTTCTGAGTAGTAAAGTAAGAGTTGCGACTTATATTAACCTAGCACTTTTGAAGGATTTTACTTAGATGTGTTTTTCTCCTGTTGCAGATGATTTTCATATGTTAGTGTCTAGAATTAATAGGAGAAGTATGATAGGAGGATTTGAAATTTTTTCTTTGTTTAATATTTACAACAGGAATATTGAGGATGCTCATACTATATCAACACAAGACCTGTTTAGAACAATACAACATCCTACTCTAATCATCAGAGACTTGAACGTACATAATCTTTACTTGAATCCTGAGAGAAATATGGCCCACAGTGAAAGGAGATGAGGGAAATACTACTTCCAAGTGGCTGGTCTACATGGATACTCGATACTGTTAGGCGGAGACAACCTGATAGACTTCCAGGTTGTTTAGGCCAATCGAGATTCATTTTTGTAGACAGAGATTGTCTAGGAAGGCTCGGACTTTACTCATTTCGTTTATGACTACAAGGAGAGAAGTAAAATAGGTAAAGTAGGGTAGAATCTTAAAAACAATATTATATTGTTAAGGTCTCTTCTCTGTTGCTTGATGATGTCTAAAGCTTGAGAGGCACTTCGATATTTATATTCCACGTCTGAGTGTTCGTGGACTACATCTATTTATCATACAACTATGTACTTCTTCAATCGTAATTCGCGACGTCGAGTTTTCTTCCAAGGTGCGAACACCTGTGGACCCTGAAAACCATCACACCCTTTTCGGTAATTACGATATTTCTTCTTAGGAAGCGTGCTGTTCCCAATAGTAATATCCCGATTAGCAGAGTCTTTAGACTTAAGGCCTAGTTCTTAAGTCAAACTGAGTTGGCTCCAATTGTCTTCACCATTGATAAAATAATCAGTTTTATCCACGGCTATATCTGCAAAGGTAGTCATCATTACAACCATCGTAGGTCATCTGACTCCGATTCTTTGTAACTCCATACCCAACTGATAGATTTTCTTTGGATGACTTCCTATTAACTTGCAAGAAGCCACTCCACTAGGCTGGTAATTAATTCCTCGGTCGGTAACCCTTGGTTACTCTCTGGGTAGTAGGTTTCAGTAACTATTGTAGTATTGAGAATCACCCCATGATTACAATGTGTTCCGAAACCTAGTTGCAACACTCCATGAAGTTTGTGCGCTTCTTTGATAGTGTCTTTTTGGAGTTCTAGACTCTTCTGGTAGATGTAAATGTATTGGTCTCTAGTAGAGATCCTTTAC